GAAGACAGCACTAAAATTGTATTTCCTGCTCTTGCTGTTAGATCCCTTAGCATATTGTGGTCAGGATTGTCTTCTAGTAGTACTGATCCAGCACTATATATTTTCTTTCCTTTTTGAGTGTGGAATTTCAGTCTATTTGAATTCTTTTTCTTGTAGAGATTAGTTTTGTTTATGGTACTATCATGTCACATTGATTTATTAGGTGCATGAGAAATTTTGTGAAATAAATAGTCTGTGACTTCATTCTAGACTTCCAGCATGTGCTGGAATTCTTGTTTCAGTTCATTAATGAACATTCTGTTTAAATGACAGATTGCCTTCTACTTCCTATTTGATGATTATTATTATTTGAGTACTCTGTACTTAAGTATAGGGATTTTGTGTCTGTCTCCTAAGGAAAAAATGCCATGCCTTTCTTCTTAATGATGTTCCAAACAGAATGTACATGGACATTTTTAAGGAATTGAGTTTTTCTACATTCCTCACTTTAAAAAGCTCACTTGCAAATTTCTCTATTTGAAGTATCTTCAGTTTGTCAAACCACACATCCATGTAAATAGTAGCATAGGGCACTAGGCAGGACCTTTAGAACAAAGGAGTTGATCTCAGGAGCCTAGCAGCTATACTAAACATACCTGGGAATTTTTACTTCACATAAACCCTTTTTTGAATCTCTCAGCTGAATTCTTGTTAGCAGATGAAAGCATTCGGTGTATTCCCTCAGGATGTTTGCTGGATTTATTTAATCTGAAAAGAATTTCTATTATTTTCAATGCAAACCAATGCATATTAAATGGGAATGATTGGAATAGTCACTTGAAAAAGATCCTCCCAATTGAAACTGAAAGGCTAAATAAACCTTTGTGGTTCTTATATAGGTTCTCTTTACCCTGGAAGTATCCCTAATAAGTGACGAATCTGAAACTTTTTTGTGGCAATCTTTTCAGACAGTTATTTAAGTCTGGTGCCTCTGGCTTTCTTCTTAGCTCTGCATCAGTACTAGCAGAGCTTCAGAGAGTTAAACTATTTAAAACTTGCCATAAAATAGTGATAATGTATACTGCAAATACCTCTGTTATGTGAAAAGGGCTTAAGTCTTTAGCATTATAATTGTTCAAATTTCTGTTGATCGTGGCTGGGGAAAAAACTAGAGTATGCTTTGCCTAGAATAAAGCTTAATCTCATGCATGGGTAATACTGAAAGTTATATGGCAAGTTAAAAAGAAATTGTTAAAACTGATAGGATTCTTAGTGCAGTAATCACAAGAAGTGCTCTGCTCTAAAGCTCTGATACCCAACTTTTGCAAGAGGTATTGGGCAGCATGGATCAGGATTGCAATCCAGAATGGGAAGGTATCTGCTATAACTATGTTTGAGTTAGTGATTTTTACCCGCCACTGAAATTGAAGGCAATAGTAGAATTTTTATACTGAATCGAAATTAGAAATTGTATAAAACGTAACAGCACAAGTTTTTGTTTTCTATTAGGAAGGTGTCATTGACTACCTACATTATCTGTAAAAACTTGTTTTCTAAAGTAATGACAGGCAGCAAATGAGATTTCCTCATGTGGGCTGTGAAGGTGTGCAGAGATCAGCAAATTAAGCACAGGATTAGCTGTTGTATATGAAGGTCAGAAGCTGAAGGTGTGAGAGCTGTTCTCCCCCTCCAAGGACAGACTTTAACCTGGCTGGAGCAGTGCCCAGAGCCTGTGTAAAACTCACGAGCCATCATTCCAGCTGCTGCATCAGCTCCAGCGGTATCAGGAAATCACAGCTCCTTTCCAGCTGAGATTGCACTGTCCTTGCAGTGAGGCTGGGTGGGGTAGGCAAGTGTTTGCTTGTAACCTTCTCATGTGCATACAATCAGAGCCTTTCTCATGCCTGTGAACATAAAACTACACTGTTCATGCTTGTGTCCAGATAATTGATTATGAGAAGAACCAGACGCTGGGACAGAACGACACTGGATTTAGCTGTGACGGAACAGCCAGTACCTTCAGAGTTATGTTCAAGGAGCCCATAGAGATTCTGCCCACGGTTTGCTACACAGCTTGTGCAACCTTGAAAGTAAGAATGTCTAACTGGACAGAAAAATGTGTTACTTTGATGCAAGAGTTACTCTTTTATCAGTGTTCTGATGGGAAAATGTCTTCTAGATCTTGAATTTATTTTAACTTTAGGGCTAAATAAGGACGTAGTTAGAACTCTACTGTAATTTGTAAGACTGTTACATCTCTTCTGGGCCACAGCATGGAATTCATAACTGGATCCTTTGTGCCTTCCCACTTTTTTGCTTGATGTAGGAGTTAGAATAGTTCTAATGGAAGTCATTGGTTCTGTGAGGGGAAAAAAAAGCCCTATCTAGAAAACATAATCTGGCAGTTCTCTTTCAAAACAAAAAAGTTTGATTTCTTTTATCAAGGATATTCTGACCAATTCAAGAAAACAGCTTTTTTTTCACTTCTTTCTATATACTGCTGCTGAAATAGTAGGTAATAATTACTTTTTCTCAGAAAGTCTTCTCTTAGTGTTGTGGACAAATTTATTTCTCAAAAAAATTTAATATTCTTCTAAGTATAATTTCCCATACAGAAATCAGAGTTCAGTGTGTTGGAAAAAATACTGTACATTAAAAACAGCTGAGGTAGGGAACTAAGTAAAAATAACAGGCAACCTGTGTGATAAGAAGAAATACTAGAAAGTATTCATTACTAGTTGGATAAAATCAACTGGTTTAAGTCTGCTGTCTGAGAAATATATTTTTGTTATTTAGACATAGGGCCCTGGCTTCTGTTGCCTGTGATTTTGTATTTAATTTATATGATGTGGGTACAGAAATTTTATACTACTAAAATAGCCCAAGTCAGTTGTGTTTGACCATCAGTAATTTTAGGGTCTTGCCCACTTCCATTGTGTTGCTGATCTCTTGTGATGTTTTTCAGGGTCCTGATTCCCACTATGGAACAAAAGGTTTGAAGAAAGTGATCCACGAATCTCCTACTGCTAGCAAAACATGCTTTGTCTTTTATAGTTCACCAGGTAACAACAATGGTACATCAATAGAAGATGGACAGATACCAGAAATAATATTTTATACTTAGTTTCACATGATGATCTGGAATGTGTTGGTGTCTCAGTGGACTTCAGCTCACCATTGGCAGCAGTTAAAAAAATTCTATTAAGTTACTTTAATGTGTAAAAACAAAACAGATTTGTTTTAGGGGTACCAGAAAAGCTATTTTTTTCTGCATTGTTATTGGTAGATTGTAATTTAGCTTTTCTTCTAAATTAAATGTTAAAGGAATAAGTACTCTGTGTATTGAAAAGTTTAAGTAGTACCTTGTGGTTAATTACTTTGTGTTTTCATCCCTTTGTTTCTCATGTAGTAAAATCATTTTTTGAACTGGAAAATCCTTACTTGTTATGAACAACTTGTGTATGTTTTCTCCAATCTGTCCTTAAAAGACAGTAAAGCTGCTGCTGTAGTCCCATCTTGCACTTCTTTCCAAAATGACCTTGGATTGACCCTATGGACATGGATTGCTACTGTATTTTTTTGAAGTACATGAGCAAAGCTGCATTCATATTACCATCATCTTGACTTTTTCCAAGAGCCATGGAGAATTAATGGACTTTGCACTGCAGAGAATATCTGCAGCTGCACTGAAGAAATAAATATCAAGTCAAATTCAGCAAGAAACAGATCTTTCCAGAATCTCTCTTAATTCAGAAGGGCTGTTTTGGAATACAGAACTGGTTATGCAAATAGCCACTGTATATATACATATGTGCCTATAAAAAATGTATAATGTGAAAATGAGAATATGAGACTTGTAATGATGCTATTTTATCATTGGATATTCTAGTACTAAAAAAAAATAGTATAAACCTAAGGATTGTTGGTGTGCAACAAGTTTTACAGATTGCATACAATAACTTGATGCTATTGCTGTATGTATATAGTATTCAGTGCTTTGCAGTATGTACCATGTAGTAACAGAACGGCTTGGTGTACAAAGACCTGTACCCTCCCCCACGTTATACTAAAATTTGAGAATGCAGGAGAAAAAATAAGAAAATTTCCTTTCTTAAGGGGAGGTCACGCAGGTTTGGGGTGTCCAAAGGCTGCATGTAGAACAAGTGTCTGTCGAACGTCCAGCTCTGTGCACACTCCGCCAGCGCTCTCCTGTGCCTGGACGCGGCGCTGTTCCGGGACAGGGATGGGGGCCGGGCTCGGCCGTGCCGGGGCACCGCTGCGGGCACAGGGGGAGGCTGTGCCAGTGGAGCCGCTGCGGGCACGGGGCTCGGCCGTGCCGGAGGAACCGCTGCGGGCACGGGGGAGGCTGTGCCAGTGGAGCCGCTGCGGGCACGGGGCTCGGCCGTGCCGGAGGAGCCGCTGCGGGCACGGGGGAGGCTGTGCCAGTGGAGCCGCTGCGGGCACGGGGCTCGGCCGTGCCGGGGCTCCGCTGCGGGCACGGGGGGAGGCTGTGCCAGTGGAACCGCTGCGGGCACAGGGGAGGCCGTGCCGGGGCACCGCTGCGGGCACAGGAGGAGGCCGTGCCGGGGCACCGCTGCGGGCACGGGGGAGGCCGTGCCGGTGGAGCCGCTGCGGGCACGGGGCTCGGCCGTGCCGGGGCTCCGCTGCGGGCACAGGGGGAGGTTGTGCCGGGGCACCGCTGCGGGCACGGGGGAGGCCGTGCCGGTGGAGCCGCTGCGGGCACGGGGCTCGGCCGTGCCAGTGGAGCCGCTGCGGGCACGGGGCTCGGCCGTGCCGGGGCTCCGCTGCGGGCACGGGGCTCGGCCGTGCCGGGGCACCGCTGCGGGCACAGGGGGAGGTTGTGCCGGGGCACCGCTGCGGGCACGGGGTTCGGCCGTGCCGGGGCACCGCTGCGGGCACGGGGCTCGGCCGTGCCGGGGCTCCGCTGCGGGCACCGCGCCGGCCCGGCCGCGCCGTGCGGGGCGCGCAGGCGCTCGGGGCGGGCCCGGCGCGGTTGCCGGAAGAGCCGCCCCGGCCATGCCGAGCCTCGCCGGGTTCCTGCGGGTGCGGGCGGCGCCGGTGCGGAGCGGCGGGGCCATGCCCGGGAAGGTGCGGGCAGGGCCAGGAGAGGGAAGGGGGGCAGGGGCGGGTGGTGCCCGCCGTGACCGCGTCTGTTCCTCTGTTGCAGGGAAAAGCGGCCGCCAAGGGCCCCGCGGAGCCGGGCGCCGCCGCGGGGCCGGTGGCGGCGGCGGGCGGCGGCGCCGTGAGGGTGGCGGTGCGCGCCAAGCCCGGGGCTCGCTGCAGCGCCGTCACAGGTGCGTGTGGGGCCGGGCCCCGGCGCTGCCTCGCTGCGCCCTGAGGAGCAGGGGCCGAGGGAGGGAGGGAACGCGGAAACCCCCGGGAACTGAGCGAGCAGTTCGGCCCTCCAGAGAATCGCGTCCCCCTGCGCGGCGCTGGGCGGCGCGGTGAGCACGGGGTAAATCCTGATCCTAAATCCTTCCGGTTGGCCTCTGTGGTTTCGTGCAGGCGCTGTTTCAAGGGTCTGTGCGGTTTTATTAGAGCCATAAAAGTTGGATCTAGCACAACGTGTTCTCCTTCTGCAGCCCTGGGCTTGCGCCTGCATGCATTGGGATTGCTTTCACATCCCCCGTGTGCGCGACACCCAGGGGCTGTGGCAGTGTCCGGGCCCCTTTGGAATTCACTGGGAATTTACTGACAGCGTAACTCTGAGCAGACTGATTTAACAAGCGGCTTTTGGGGCAGGGGCGGGGGTAACCTGATTTGGGTCGTGTTACGTGGTGCCAAGCAGGACAACACCTGCAGTTGAGGGGAGCTCGGAGCGGTGCCCCCATTGTGAGAAGGCTCATGTAATCAATCATGTAATCAATCAATCAATCAAGGTAACTCATGACTGCACCTTGCTACAGCATGAGGGCTTCACTGCTTGTATCGTCAGTTTATACTTGGTTCTACTGGCCGACAATCAAGGGAATTCGTGAAATGTGAAAATGCCGTCACCTGCTAATCTATATGTTTACTTGGTTTTAAACTTAAATGTTTTTGAAAGCATAAACATTCATTTTTAGCAAACTGTGGTGTGATGTTTTGAATATTTTAAGCATAAAATCCTCCAATTATTTGCTATAGATGTGACGGCTGAGGCAGTAGGTGTAGCTATTGCTGCACCTCCATCAGAAGGGGAGGCAAATGCAGAGCTGTGCCGTTACCTGTCTAAGGTGCTTGAAGTGAAGAAGAGCGACGTTATTTTAGAGAAGGTACTTCCTTTTTTCCTTTCAGTTTTGCCCTACTGCAGTTGAAATTCAAGATTTTGAAACTTAAACATTGAGTACAGGGAGCTACTCCAAGTTCAGTCTGAAAGACACTTTAAAAAGTTTAGGTGAGTTAATGGAATGATTCATTGAGAACAAACTTTGTGTAGGAAGAACTGTGGCTGATCCTGAGATCTTTTAACCAGTTAAGTTATCATGATAATATTTTGCAAATCTCTAGTTCATGTGTTCTTCAAGATGCTCTTGTTTTCATGTCAAATGAGTTCACAGAATTTATGTTCTGCAGAGAATATTCATTTTATTAATAACTTTTCACTTTTTTTTAATAACTTCTGTATTTGATTCTGACATTTACCTGTCACACATAAGCAAGAGTGTATGTAAGCCCTTGGGTTGTAGCTGGGCCTCAAGAGTTTCTCTGTATTAAAATTTACATGTCTTGACTTTGGTGAGCAGAAACTCTTTGTTTTATTCATTGCACTGAATAAGTAATTTGTTTTATTAATTCATTCAACTTCAAGTCAGTCTTTCCAGCCATTTCCATTTATGTTTTATAAGCACAATGAAAAATAGTGCTTTTTATTTTTAGCTGTTGGTTTAATGGAGTAGTAATAGAAGTCTTTTAAAGAGTACTGTTAAAGGATAAGATGACCAAGCAAATGTCTTGTGAAAAGGTAGAGACAAATCTATGTAAGTCTTGTTTTTCCTGAATCATGGGCAAACTGCTTAATTTGTTTATCAGCATTTTATAAATAGCACTGTTTTCTTACCTTAAAGGGTGATTCTCTGAAAGACAGGTTTGTTCTGTGTTTGTCTAAACCAGGGGGGTAAATCACGTGACAAAGTGGTGAAGATTTCAATATCAGCGACACCAGATGAGATTTTAGAAAAACTGAAAAAAGAAGCTTCCAGTTGACCTAGAACAAGAGTGGAAATAGGAAGAAGCATCTTGGTATATGGACTGATATTCTTTTTTACTTAATGCAGTGCTGTTTAGAGTGTGGGTAATGGCTACAGGAAGATACTTCTTTCCCCTCCCTTTGTTAATATAGGTGCTGTACAATTTAAGTTTTTCTGTAGGTTTGGTAAGAAAACTGAGGTTCTGTATCTGCTTCTGTCACTACAGACTTCCTTCTGTTCTAGATGGTTTCCTGGGGTAAGATTTGTCCTCTTCCCTGGTCCCTAAACAAATGGCTTAAGAAATATATTTTTAAGGGGAGCAAACATTGGTTAACAAAGTGAGGAGCTTAAAAGTAGAGATTTGGTCATATATATCTTTGCCAATTGTATGTCACCTGTAATGACTGTTTTTAATAAAAGGGGCAAAAAGTATTCTCAAGCTTTTGTCTGTGTTTGTATTTTAACAAAGAAAAGAGTTGTTTCCTAGAAACGTCTTCATAGAATGCTACTTTGAAACAGCCTTTTTTTACAATCTTTCCTTGGTCTAAAAATGAGTAGTAGTGCAACCCCTAGAGAACAGAGCTGAGTCATTTGTAGAGCACAACAAAACAAGAAGTCTGAAACAAAATGGGTAACTATATTCCTGTTTCAAGGCTGATGAGAAAAAGGCTGAACTTCTCTATTATGCTTCAGAGGTCAGAGGAAGATTTAACTGACATTTCTCAAAGATTTGATACCACACATGGTTAGGGTAGGACTTTGTTTTTTCCTCTGCATCACTGCTGATGTCTGAAATTGTCCTGTATTTGTCCTATGGGTGTCATGTTAAAATGAAAGTAATGGCTAAAGGAAAAAAGATAAACTATTCTGAAGGTTTGTTTGAGGTGTGTCATACATTGTCATAGAAAACAATGTTATGAATGCAGATGCATTGCCAGATTGATGCAGTACAGGCTTCATAGCTCATAATTCAGCTTTTTCATGGGCAAAAGTCTTTCACTTTAGGGAACTCTTTCAGTGTCCTGTTTTCTAAATATCACAATGGTTGCTTTTAGAGTTAGAGAACTGGTGTTTGTCAAGGTGACAGTTCCTTCAAGGTGACTAATTTTAAAGATGTTATGAAAAATGTTACTTTCTGGAGAAATAAGTCTGAATTCTGTTTGTTTAATGGTTCACACCTGAGCCCCTGATTTTCTCAGGCATTTGGGCAGCCATACATTGCCTCAGTCCTCTTTCCTTACTTGTCTTTTCAGTCTGCACAGGTTGATTTTATTTTACTGTTCCATCAGTTTTGGTTCACCCCTCCCTGCTGCTAGATCTGCTCTTGCCCAGCAGAGGGGTGCCATGTCTTGCAGAAAAATTAAGGCAAGGCAAACCAAGTGTTAGTGGTTTGTTGTTGGGGATTTTTCCTTTTATTTCCTAAACTTCTTATGATAAGTGGAAAGCAGCAATAAAAAGACTGAGGAATTCTGTATTTATAAATTACATTTGGAATTGGATGCTGCAACAGCCATTATAAAATTGTTTTACAGCTTATATACTCTGTTGAAATTATGTATTTCATTACACTTCCCTGTGACTTCAGACACAGACTGAGGGAGGAGCTGTGTGGACAGATACAGTCTCTGACACTGATCTTCAATGATGATTATCTAAAATAGCCAATTTAGTTTCTCAGTGCCCTCTCTGTCTTGTCAGCATGTTCTGCCTAGGCTTTGCCGACTTCTGCTGTGGCTTCTTCACCTTTCCTAAACACCTTCAGCTGCCATTCTGCATCTGTTCTTCCTGATCAACAAAAGTAACTTGAATTCCTGATAGTGTGGCAAATAACACCTTTACCTGCTAGGAATATGCAATTTATGTAGTATGAGTAACCAAAATTATTTTGAAATGTTTGCATAAGTAACACTGGGGTGTTGCCATATAGAATCATAGAATCATATCTGTCAGGCTCTTACGTCAATGGTTTTTGTGCTGTGTATCCCTATATCAATTGTATCCTGTATTGGATTTATGTAACCTGGTAAAATGCCTGGGAGGGTGGAACTGCTGGTCCATTGCTGTAGGCACACACAGTTTGGGGTGACTGGGAGTGGGGCTGTCCTGTGGCACAGTTTGGGGTGACTGGGAGTGGGGCTGTGTGTTGGCACACACAGTTTGGGGTCACTGGGAGTGGGGCTGTGCTGTGGCACAGTTTGGGTCACTGGGAGTGGGGCTGGCCCAGCCTCATCCCCAGTGGGCACAGCTGTGAGGAGCAGGTGAGCAGCACTGACAGCAGTGAGCCATGGAGTGCCCAGAAAGGGAACAGAGGGCACACAGGTGCAATGCATGAGCCATGAGGGTATGAAAGGCTGGGCTGAAGATGCTTGCAGCCTTCTGAAGTCACAGGGTGTTGCTCTGTCTAGGCAGATGCTTGAAGCCTTCTGAGTGGTAAGGTATACTGTGTATGGGTTGAAGATTTCTGGAATAGTATGATAATACTCTGGGTATTGTGGCCATGTCAACTGTGACACATTGTATATCAAGAGAGATAGAGAAGAGCTAAGAAACTTGCGTGACCAAACAATGCCAAAACTGATTTAGGCCTAGCTCCAGTAAGCCTTGCATTGAAATCCTAACCTGTTAACTGTCTCTTCATGAACACAGTGAAATATGTTCCATTCTGTTGAAAAAAAATGTGGTAGCAAGTATCCCTTATTCCAGCAGAATATGTTTTCATAGAGCAGAGCTTTGTGATTTTGTTAGAAGTTCTTCCAAGAATTTTAAGACACTTTACAAATCCCTGCTCAAAGTAAATCCAGCTTTGAAAGTTGGTTTCGTTGTAGAAGTGTAATATGCTAATTAAGGATATTTAACTATACCCTCTGAAACTGTCTCTTTGCTCTTTTTCTTTTAATCCCCTCCATTTATCATCTGCAGTGCATTCCTAACTTCCCTTTTAGTCCCAAGTGTTTCTAAATCTTCATTTCTTCAGCTATCATCGGTCTAAATAATCCTGGGTAATTGACAACTTTGTCAATAACTGGCAGCAGCAATTTAGCGGAAAGCACAGTTTAATATCTTCCAGCTTCCAGGAAGATAAATACACCTGATCTTCCTGTTCAGTACTTCACATCTCATTCTTGTTTCCCCTCTCATAATATTTATTTACATGTGTAAAACTTGAACCAGCTGAGTTTTTTAAATTTTTTCTGCATTACTTCTACCTACTGTATTCCCCTCTTAATGTTTTAGTCTTTGTCTTTGGAGGATGATTCATTGCTGTGTTGATGGATTTAAAAATGGGGTCCCCTGTCTCCTTTGGGGGCCACAATACTTTATCCTCCTGTAAAAGCTGTCCTGGTTGTTACTCTCTAGGAAGGGGCTGCACTTGAGGCAAAGTCCTCTTAATACAACTGAGGCACAATAAAAAAGCTGCTGAAGAAATGAAATGCTTGCCTGAAAGGAGGAGTCTGTTACTTCTCTGTGATATTGGGAATTTGTTTCTTCCTGATCCCTTTTATATTGGCTTCTCAAGTAATTGCTACTGGGATGTGATAAATTTTCTTTCACCTATAAATGCTGCATTTATTTGTTCTTTCAAGAGCTGGGGAAGGTAGAGTGATGAAGTATCCACTGTGCCATCTCTTACTACAGCCCGAGGGTACATTTTTGGAATATTGTTTAAATAACATTCTGAGCTTCCAAGTCTGAAGTATGGCAGGTGAAAAGTGAAATATATTGGGTATCAGTTCAGCAGTTGGTCACTATAGAAACATGCTGTAAAGAGAGCAGTTAGCCATGGACCCAAGGAAAATAGAACAAACAACAGAGGGTCAAAGCCTCATTTCATGCTGCTCAGATAAAGCAGTTGTGTGCCTTAAGAGAATAAACCAGAGTTATAAACTATAATTCTGGGGTGATTGTCATTAAGTTGTTTTTTCCTAATACCTCATAGGTGTGCAGTGCATGTGGGAAGGGCTTAAGCAATGCTGTTCCTTTGGCCAGCTTTTGTTGCTGTAATGCTTTGCAAACCAGGATGCACTGAGACATAATTTATAACAAATTTCAAAGTTCTCAGTGTGTGTTAGGACATACTTTGTGCCCAGGTGTCTGACAGGGGCATTGCCAAGTTGCCTTTTATAAAACAAGCCATTCCTGTGGAACCTTTTTTTTTGACCCGTGCTATTTTCCATAGCTTGTCTTAAAATCTATGAAGTTTTTTGCTTCCTTTCTGATGTTCGGAAGGGGTGTGGAGGTATCAGCACACATGGTCAGCTCCAACAGCCACCTTCCTGCCACGTCTGGGTGCTTGTGCAGCCCCTCACCTTCAGTTCTGCTGCTGCTGTTGCAGGTAAGTGGCCTCCAGCAGGACCAGGCTCTCTGGGGTTGTTTCTGCTCTCTGTTTGTCACATCAGCAGTGTTGCTGATGTTTATCTCCTTAGATGCCACCACATTTCTTTTTCTGTTTTTTGGGCCTGACAGCCCTTAGAGATGGATTCATTGAGGAAGGAGGGAAAAGACCTTGTGATACAATCTTTGCAATCAGAGGCCAAACGTGTCCTTTCCAGCGAGGCCCTGTGGCAGCTCTTTGTAGCTTTCTTGCATTTGCCTTTTAATGAAATGTCTCCTTTTTTCTCCAGTAAATCTGACAGCAATCAGCCAGCATGTATGTGAGGTCATGTTCCTGCTATGAGGAAAGATTGCTGGTAGCTACTCAGATACACTTCTGAACAGGCAATTTTCTTCAGCTTCTTAACTGCCTTTTTACAATGGAAGTGCAAACTGTTACTAATAAACCTGATAGGTTTATGGGTTTTGAGGAGATTTTTCCTTTTTGTTTGAAAAACCTTATTAAGCTCATCACTGACTGAATATAAATGCTAATACATAGAGGGAACCAGCCAGGCAAATTGCACTTGGCTAATTTTACTTAATGAGAATGTCTGATTCTGTTCAGTCACTTCCTCACTGAGTTCAGGTTCAGCTGCTGAAGCAGACCCAGGAGCTTTTTGTTAAATATTTTTAAAAGATGATCAGCTTATAATGACGTTCTCAAAGTCTGTGACTTCTGTTTGCTGTGATTGCTGTGACATATCAGCTGGAAAAAAAAAAATCCTTTATTTAATACCATGCCAGGAAATATTTCTGGTAGAAGATAAATGTGAAAATAGAACATCTGAAAACATTAATTTGACAATAGCTGTAGTTAAATTGTGGATCTGAGGCAACGTGTGTCTTTCAGTAGTCAAGTACCTGTGTGTGTAAAAGCAGAGAAGGTGTAAGATCTAATTAAACACCACTTTCAGTTGTTTGAAAAGTGTATAAATCCTAAATACACAAAAACAAGTAAAGTGACCCTGTCAGAGGGGGGGTTGATATACATTTTATGCACTTGAAAGACAAAAAGAATGTACTATACCAGAACTTGCCATAAGCTGTTCTGCCAGCTTTATGCGG